GTCAATCAAGAAATTCAAGAGATGGTTGTTGTGGCTTATAAGTGCATTGCAAAAACTCCAATTTTAATTGATGTGGAAGCTAAGTCGGTTGATTCCTTTTTGGTTGGGTGTGAGGTGCAAACTGGTGCCCCCCCTTGGCTTGACGATCTAAGTTTGATGGCCATATACTGTGTCTCTGATGATATGGTAGTTGCAAGACACATGTTTGATGAAATGTCTGACCTAAGTACAAGGTCTTGGTATATGATGATATCTGAACCTTTGCTTTATTGGGACCCTGGAGGATTTCTTTTAACCCTCGAAGAGAACGTGCTGGAAGTTGATTGCCCTTGTTTGACGCCAGAAATTGTGTTCAAGGCTTCAGGTCACCTTGAAAAATTCACTGATCTGATGGTTAAGGATGAGATAACTGGTACAGGTCACCGTGCTGATCACTTGCTGAAGAATTTTTGCAAAAACAAGCTTGAGAAAGACCTCAACATATCATCCAATGAGGCTTCGGAACTCAAACATGTGTTGGCCATTTTAGATGATCTCTCTGTTGAAGAGCTCGGTGCCAAGATTAAGGAGTATGGAATTACAGCTCCAGACACCAACAATCCACTCTCTGATCCATATCCTTTCAATTTGATGTTTCAAACATCAATTGGACCATATGCCACTAGTGTTGGGTTCATGCGTCCCGAAACTGCACAAGGCATATTTGTGAATTTCAAGGACTTGTATTATTACAATGGGAACAAACTCCCATTTGCTGCAGCACAAATTGGACATGCGTTTAGAATTGAGATATCTCCCCGCCGAGGCCTTCTCAGAGTCCGTGAATTTACGCTAGCAGAAATTGAGCACTTTGTTGATCCAGAAGATAAATTTCATCCCAAATTCACACAAGTTGCTGACTTGGAAATTTTTATGTTTTCGGGGGAGGAACAAGTGAAACAACCCCCTCCACCTGCAAGGAAAATTCGTATTGGTGAAGCTGTCTCAAAGGGAATTGTCGATAATGAGACTTTTGGTTATTTCATCGGAAGAGTATATCTTTTCTTGACGAGTCTTAGTATAGATAATGACCGTTACAGATTTAGACAACACCTTAAAAATGCGATGGCTCATTATGCTGGTGACTGTTGGGATGGTGAGATTGAGTGTTCCTATTGCTGGATTGAATGTGTTGGCATTGCTGATAGATCTGCATATGATTTGAGTGCTCACTTGGAGAAAAGTGGTGTTCCACTAGTGGCTCATGAAAATTTTTCAGAACCTAAGGAAGTGGAGAAATTTCCTCAGCTTCTTGATTTTAAGAAGCAAGGTCAAGTTGACTCATTTGGGGAGAGATATCAAATTCTGAAATTGATTACGAGCCCCATTTCAATTGCTTCTTTGGTTAGGGGTGAAAGGGGTGCAATGTTGAATGAGGCAATTTCTTACATTCAAGACCCAATTCATTACCTGAAATTGGTTTTCACAGCCACCTTCTTTGTTGGTTTCTTCCAAGCCTCTCTGAGCATATTCAGGTTAGGCCTTGTAATTGATTTTCTCTCAAAGAAATGTCTCTCGTCAATCTTCAAATTGCAACATCTTGAAGAATTGGTCCTCGAAGGATGCTTTGCTATTGATGATGACAGCCTCGGTGATGATGTCTTCAATCAAGGTTGCAAGACAATGAAGAAACGTGATATCTCTGGTTGTCAAAACGTAAGCCACATAGATCTACCAAAACTAAAAAAACATTTCTGGAGGCGTTGAGCAACTCGTAATTGCTTATGGTTTGAATAAACTTTCCATGTTGCAATCAATATTGGATTGCTATTTTATTACTTCTGATGGATTCAAGGCCATTGGAAATTTATGCATTTCACTCAGGGAGCTGAGTCTAAGGAGGTGTTTGGGAGTAACAGATGAAGCTCTCTCGTTCCTTGTGTCAATACATAAAGATTTAAGGAAACTTGACATCACATCCTGCCACAAGATAACTAATGGTTCCGTTGCCAGCTTTGCTAATTCATGCATAAGTCTCACTTCTCTAAAAAAAAAAAAGAGTTTCTCAAAAAATACACAGCCTGTGCAGCCTATATAAAAGAATTTTTAGTTCTCTTTTATCATTGGGACCTTGAGGACAAGGTTCGTTTTTTAGGGGAAGGCAATGTTACGTGTGGACTAAGGACTTTGTCTCTGATATGTGAAGTTAGCCCAGCATATTAAAGAGTTTGTATTAGGTGTCTGTTGTATAACTGTGTAGTCTTGTAGTGTGGTCTCTAGTGTATAGTGTATTGCTGATGTGGCCATGAGCTATTAGCAAAATATGGATTACGTGTCTATGTAACAATTCAGTTACAGATTGGTGAGGACTTGTGGCTTATAGATAGGAAACAGGGGTCATTTGGAATGCATAATGATGAATATACATATTTTCCTTTGAATTCTTCTCTGATTCTCTCTTGTTCTTCTTGTTTCCTCCTTGAGGCTTCCAAATAGGATCTGCTATCCTAACATAAACCCACAAATGGAGCCCGCAGGTTTTAAAATTAATTAATTTTTAAAACCTTCACCCATTCAACATTTTTGTTTGAGAATTTTCATAAGCCCAGTCGAATTCATTGTTTAATTTCAAAATTATCTTTAATAACTTAGTATTATCGACGATGGGCCGTACAATACTTTATTAAAATTTTGAAATTATTAAGGCCCAATAAAATCCAATCATGCTTATCCGTTGGGGCCTCACATGATTATTTTATTGATAGGCCCACAATGCGCCTGGAGGTTAAATTAATTTCTTAATTTAAATCTCCTCTCATTCAACATAAGCAACATTTTCTAATTTCCAAGAATTATTTAATTGAGAGTATCCTTTGTTCGATTTCAAAAACTATATAAGTAAGAGCGCCGATAAACGTGCACTAAGCTTAACATAATTTTGAAAGCATTAAGGTCCTGAAATCCGGTCACTTTACGTCAGCGTGTGCTCCAAACAATCATGATACATGAAGGTTGTATGCAGCGTGTGTTATTCCATGACCATTTCAGAAAACCCACAAATTACTCGCAAAATAAAAGAATTCTCTTAGAAAATTTTCTCTAATTATTTTTCTAGATTTAAATCATCCAAATAGCTGACTTAATTATTAATCTAGATTGCAACAATCATAATAATTATCATTTATGAGGATAATTTGAAATCAAAATAATTTCCATAAAGATTATTTGTCTTGATGTTAATTATCCAAAATTAATTAATTCAATTATTAATTATGATTTTTAATAAAAATCATAATAATTATTAATTAAATTCTTAGGATGATTTAAAATCAAAATAATCCCATAATAACTATCATACTAGTCGCTGAAGACATAATAGCTATTATGCTCATGCAATCATACAAGTTATGCAACAATATGGCACCACCTATTCTATATGGCATGTTATCGCAATAAAGCATGTTATCAATCATATAATTTATACCAATCAATAAAAGCATTAAATAATAAATCATAATTACTTTAATCCATGGCCTTCCTATTTTAAAGAAAATTAAATTAAATTAAATAATACAACTTTGGAATTCGACTTTCGCCTAGCCCATAGTATCTATCTCAAGCCCCTTTAGGGTTTCATGGGCCCAAAAGCCCAAAGACCCAATCATTTGGCGAGAAACCATAGGAAGCGAAAGAGGAACCCTAGCCGTCAGGTCTGCCGCGCCGTCACCCGAAGTCAAATCAAGCTGAAACTCCAGGGGAAGGACCGCCACGTAGAGACGAGTACGCCGCCGCCGGAACCACCCAAAAATGTGGCGGACGCTCCCTCACTCTCCCATTCTTTTCCGGAGAGTGGCGGCCACTCTCATCCGCTTGTGGAGGCGCGTGGAGGAGCGTGAAGGCTCCGATGTCGGCGACCCACCCACCGTTGCGTTCGTCTTTTCGTCCTCTTTCCAACCATATATAGATCGCCCCATTCCGAGATCGGTAAGTCCTCGAAAAGTCTCCGACAGTGCTGACTGCGCATCTTCCTCGCGATTTCTCGATCTTGAACTTTTACAAAATATTGAAAAAATACACAGAAATTCCAAAAATAAACAAAAACAGCAAGGAGGAAACCTAATCATATGGGATTAGCCTCCTTGTTACAAACCGAGAAATACACGAGAGACCCTAACCATGGATTAAAGCATTTTTACCGATTAAAATTTAAACTTTTATGAAAATGAATTATAAAATACACATGCTAGATTCATACCATAATCCAAGAACCCTAGGTGCCACATTTCAAGAAGCAAAACTAATTACATGAATAGTGAAACTAGATTCACATACCAATGTACAGCCAAGGCTCTGATACCAATTGTAGGAAATCTTAAATTTATGCGGAAGCGGTTTAGGACCTGGTACATTGGTATGCTTACCGAATCATCCTTGTTTCACAATTACCTCTCGGTGTGCAGGTCTCGTGTAGAATCTTCCCTTGTAGGATTCCTCTTCACGAACAGCTCACCTCAGCGCCGCAGCACGAACAACCTCCTTGAAGCTGGACTGTGGCAGATCTTCCAGACTATCTCTCGAGGAGGATGAGATGGTTGTGTGGGCAACCGTTCAGATGATGAACGTCTGCCTCTTGGGGTTTGTTTCTGATGATCTGTTCACCTTCGAGGCACAAGAGGAGAAAACTATGAATATATACGCTTAGGTCTTAGACATAACTCAACCCTAAGCCTCATGGGCTCAAGTTTCACTGAAGCCCAATAGGACTTTAGTGACCAAAAGAGCATATATCCAACAAATGCAACATGCATATCCGAAGAATATAAAAGAACAAAGAGCCAAAATCATATAATAAGTAATACCCAAATGTTTCGATTAATTGGGGATTTCAAACCACTAGCAAAATGGGATCTCAAATAGGCAAGAAAAAAATATGACAGATTAACCTATGATGGCAAAATGATGCAAGTCGTACCATATTAACGGATGAACAATTCAAGAACCAATGGCCAAAAGCATGAGCATTATTCAAATGTGCTAGTATAGGACCGAACCAAAATAAATTTCACTGAATACACAGGTTTTCCACTTTCCAAAGATGAAAATGCAGAAGCAACATGAATGCTACAAATACCATGAATGTAATAACGCACAAAATGCAGATAAAGAGAATACCATATGAAGATGTGCAGATGAAGACAAAATCTAGAAAGCACTAAATAAGAATCAGATGACAATATCTAGAAATGGGAACATAGGATGAAGCTATTATGAACTGAATATCTAAATCCCTAAAATGCAGAGTCAGGGAAAATAGATGGGTGTGGAGACCAAAATTAGAATGCATGGTTACAGTAAATTCCACAAACAATATCAGTTGGATGACCGTTCCATATTCATCTACTCATTTAAACAGAAGGTAAACCAAAAAAAATGGGGAGAGCTTACCGTGAAATGCAAATCGTAGAAGACAAAGAGGCTTACCACAGACAACGCGAACATATGAGGTTGGAGATACACTGGAGATGAGAGTACAGAGATGAAGGAATGACCAGGAATTTCGAGCCCTAAACTGTAAGCTTTGCACGAATGGGGCAGAATTTGGGTAATGAGAGGAAAGGGTTTCTGTTTTATAACGTTGGAGAGTCTGATTTAAAGTTACAGGACATTGGGAATCGATTTCCTACTGAGTGGGAATTGATTCCTTAATTGAAGAATTTCAAGAATCGATTCCTTTGATAAGCAGGAATGGATTCCTTGGCTTGGGAATCGATTTCCACGACGCAGGAATCGATTCCCTACCCTGGTAGAGAGCAGAAATGACCATGGAATGGATTTGTTAAGGTGGTTTTGATATATTTAACCTAATTTTGATCAGTTAAGGCATGTAATGTGAGTAATTAAGCATGGATAGGTGTCTTCTATGATAAATAGAGGAATGCATTGAGGTGCAATCTTACTTCTATGATGATTTGTGCATTGAACTATACATAGTGCAGTATGAGTGAGATCAAAATATGCATAAGATATGTGCTTTCACAAGTATAATGGATCACCAATTTCTCTTCTCAATTTATAAAATACTTCCCTTGGGAGTGGTTTGGTGAAGATGTCAGCCAATTGTTTCGAAGATTCCATAAATTCCAAGATGCATTCACCGCTTTGCACATGATCCCTTATGAAATGATGTCTAATATCGATATGTTTAGTTCTTGAGTGCATGATGGGATTTTTTATGAGGTTTATGGCACTAGTGTTATCACACCTTATGGGGATGTGATCAAGTTCAACCCCAAAGTCCTTGAGTTGTTGTTTCATCCAAATGATTTGAGTGCAACAATTTTTTGCCGCCACATATTCGACTTCGCCCGTGGACAAAGCCACACTATTTTGTTTCTTGCTATGCCAAGATACTAAAGAGCAACCAAGAAAGTGGCAAGTGCCACTAGTGCTCTTCCTATCCAATTTACATCCCGCAAAATCGGAATCGGAATAGCCTATTAACTCATATGATGCAGCCTTAGGGTACCATAATCCCATTTGTGATGTGCCTACAAGATATCTCATAATTCTTTTATAACACTTAAGTGTGATTCCTTAGGATTAGCTTGAAATCTAGCACACATGCATACACTAAACATAATATTGGGCCTACTCGCGGTTAAGTAAAGGAGTGAGCCAATCATACCTCGATATTTAGTAATTTCTATGGATTTACCTCCTTCATCTTTGTCTAAAGAGCAAGATGTACCCATGGGAGTGTCAATGGCCTTGGAGTTGTCCATTCCAAATTTTTTGAGTAACTTCTTGCAATATTTAGCTTGATTTATGAATATCCCATCCTTTTGTTGCTTTATTTGGAGACCAAAAAAGAAGTTGAGCTCTCCCATCATAGACATCTCAAATTCACTTTGCATAAAGTTGGCAAATTCTTCACAAAGATTAACATTAGTGGCACCAAATATAATGTCATCAATATAGATTTGTGCAAGTAATAGATGATCATTTTTCTTCTTTATAAAGAGAGTTGTGTCCACTTTTCCTCTTGAAAAATCTTTTTCTAAAAGAAATTTTCTTAATCTTTCATACCAAGCTCTTGGAGCTTGTTTCAAACCCTATAAAGCCTTTTTGAGTTTAAAAACATGGTTAGGTAAATCATGATCTTCAAAACCGGGAGGTTGATCAACATATACTTCTTCTTGAATGTATCCATTTAGAAATGCACTTTTAACATCCATTTGAAAAAGTTTAAAATCCATTATTCATGCAAATGCAAGTAATAATCTAATAGCTTCTAATCTAGCAATGAGAGCATAAGTTTCATCATAATCAATACATTCCTCTTGATTAAATCCTTTAGCAACAAGTCTAGCTTTATTTCTAGTTATTATTCCATTTTCATCAAGCTTGTTCCTAAAGACCCATTTTGTTCCAATTATTGGATAATCATTTGGTTTTGGCACAAGTTCTCAAACTTGATTTCTTTCAAATTGATTTAGTTCTTCTTGCATTGCCAAGAATCAATGTTCATCAATAATTGCTTCATTTATGGTCTTAGGCTCAATTTGAGAGACAAATGCTAAGTGATTGCAAATATTTCTAATTGAGTTTCTAGTAGTTACCCCTTTGGATATATCACCAATTACCACATCAATGAGGAGTCATCTAGCTACTCTCCAATCTTGTGGTAGATTGTTTCCATCATTGGTTTGTTGACTTGGTGTTCCTTCATTGTTTGCTTCCTTTTCTTTTTACCTTTCATCTTCCTCTTTGCCATCCAAGTTTATGTTTTCCATGCTTTCTATAAGATCATCATCACAAAGTTCTTTTCTAGGCAATGCATTGTTAGTCTCATTGAATACAACATGAATAGACTCTTCAATGACCATTGTTCTCTTATTATAGACTTTATAAGCTCTACTTGTGAGTGAGTAGCCTAGAAATATGCCTTCTTTGGCTTTAGAGTCAAATTTGCCAAGGTTTTCTTTTCCATTGTTTAAAACAAAACATTTGCAACCAAAGACATAAAAATATGAAATATTGGATTTTCTTCCTTTGTAAAGCTCATAGGGGGTTTTCTTTAAAATAGGTCTAATTAAAGCACGGTTCATAACATAACAAGCGATGCCAACGACTTCCGCGCAAAAATATTTTGGAAGATCATTTTCATTTAACATGGTTCTAGCAAGTTCTTCCAATACACGATTTTTCCTTTTTACAACTCCATTTTGTTGTGGAGTCCTAGGAGCGGAAAAATTATGTTCAATACCATTTTCTTCACAAAAGGTTTCAAAATCTTGATTTTCAAATTCTCCACCATGATCGGTTCTAATTGAATCAATATTTGTAGATTGTTCATTTTGAATAAACTTGGCTAGTCTCTTGAATGATTTAAAAGCATCACTTTTATGTGTAAGAAATAAAGTCCAAGTATAGCGAGAATAATCATCCACAATGACCAATGCATAGTAATTGCCACCAAAGCTCATTGTTCTAGTTGGTCCAAAAAGATCCATATGCAAAAGTTGTAAAGGCTTTGTGGTAGAAATAATATTTTTTGATTTAAAAGAAGCCTTTACTTGTTTCCTCATTTGACAAGCATCACAAACTTTATCTTTTTCTAATTTGATCTTTGGTAACCCAACACTAGGTCTAAGGAAATCAATTTGCTTAATTGACCTATGCCAATGTGTGCTATTCTTCTATGCCATAACCAAGAGTCATCTTCCTTACTAATCAAACATTTATCGTCATTTGAAGGCATACCATCTAAGTCTATCATATAAATATTATCCACTCTATGACCAAGAAACTTAACTTGTCCATCAATTAGACTTTCAATTTTGCAAGAGGTTGAATAAAAAATTACTCTATAATTTTTATCACATAATTGACTAATGCTCAGCAAGTTATGTCTAAGGCCCTCAACAAGTAAAACATTCTCTATAGAGACGGAGGAAGAGTTACCAACTTTTCCAATACCAAGTATCTTTCCTTTGTTGTTATCTCCATAGGAAACATGTCCATTCTCTTTCTTTGTGAATGATTGGAATTTAGTTGCATCTCCCGTCATGTGACTTGAGCAACCACTATCCAAGTATCACTTGGAGCTTTTAGCCTTGAAACAAACCTACATCACAAAGTCAAGATTTAATCTTTGGTACCCAAACTTTGTTGGGTTGTGTGTTAGTCTTGGGCTTAGTTCTCTTAGGAACCCACACTTTCTTTTGCCCAATAATACCATTCTTTCTAACTTTACATGTGGAAGCACTATGACCATTTCCACCACAATGAAAACATTTAATGAATGAGCTACTTGTCATGTAGGATGGAGAGATGAAAAAGTTTTTATATGATTTTTCTTGTGTGCTTATGTCAAAACCTTAGCCGGATTTGTTAAACATGCATCTTTGTTCACCAAGCAACGCATTTAAGTTATCTCTACCACATGTGAATTTGCTTAAAATCTCATTTAAGTCATCAATTTCATTGTTTAGATCTTTACATGATGTACATGATGATGAAGATGCATGATAATTTGAAGATAGGTATCTGATACAACTAGTGCTAGCATCAAGTAATTTGAGAGTTTCATTTTTATCTTTCAAATCTTTTACTTCCTTTTCTAAAGACGCAATTTGTTTTTCCAAAGAAGTAATAGTTTTTCTTGATGCTCTAAGAGTTTTAACATGTTCTAGTGTTTCATTATGCATTTCTTCAAACATTTTAGACAACTCATCATATGAAGGGAAAATAGTAGAGCAAGATGAGTTTACCTCGGTTTCGGATTCATCCTCATTTGCCATTAGACATATATGTTGAGTTCCTTTGCTTGATTTCTCCGGTGATATCCCATTTTGCATAAAGCATAGGTTTGCTTCTTCCTTGGACCCATCATCGGAAGAGCTAGATTCGTTATCCCAAGCAAGATAGGCCTTCTTGAAGTTCTTCTATCCTTGCCTTGCTTCTTTTCATATTTATCTTTCTTTTGAATATTTGGACAATCTGATTTGTAGTGACTGGTTTTTCCACATTTGTAGCAAGTGATGGTGAGTTGAGAAGATCCTTCATCTTTAGCTCTTCTTCTAGGAGGAAATGCGGGTCTCTTTGAGAAATTCTTCTTAAAGAATTTTCCATACTTTTTCACGAAGATACTCATCTCATCTTCATCAAGATCATTTTCGGAATCTCCATCTTCTTTTTCCTCATCCTTCTCTTTGCTTGGTGTTGAGGCTTTCAAGGCAATTCCCTTACTTTTCTTGATGACTTGTTCCTTCAAGGTGTTCCATACTCTTAAATCATTAGATTGAAGAAATATTTTCATCCGCCTCTTCCAATAAGAATAATCGAGGCCATTGAAAAATGGAGGTCTAGTACTAAAAGATCCCTCAATGGGCATATCATGGTTTA